CAGCTGACTGAAGGAAAAAGCCCTGGAGTGTGCAATTTTCAACTGCATGCTATACATCGCCAAGCATTGGCCAGCAAAAAACGTTGAGAAGACCTCAGTAAGACCCTGGCGACTGTTGTTAAAGTTGTCAACTTTATAAAGGCCCGTCCTTCAAACAAGAGACTGTTAGCCCAGCTGTGTGAAGATGAAGCACACCAAACACTGCTGTTACACACAGAGGTGCACTGGTTGTCACGCGGTCAGATGCTTGTGCGTTTCATGGAACTGCAGGAAAAAATTAAGGAATTCTTGCAAGCTCACAATCGATCACTGTATGAAGAATTGTCGGAGGCGTTTTGGATGAAAACGGCATACCGAGCGGAAACATTCACGCTCTACAAGACAAGCAAGCAGATGCAGGGACCTGACTCAAATGTCATGCAGTGCAAAGATGCTCTCAGCGCTTTTGTGTGCAAATTGGAGTACAGAGTTGGGAAAATGTCAAAAGGGGAGCTCCAACATTTCCCACTGCTCATGAAGCACTCCAGCGGCATGGTGAGTGCGGCTTTACGCACGGAGTTTATCCAGCTTATGAACATGCTCCAGGAAGAAATTAAGTCCCGTTTTGCTGATGTTGACGACCACCTGTCAAAGGCTTCAAGCTGATTCCATTTCAAAAAAGTGTTTCCAGGAGAAGGGATACAAAAAGTTTTGGATTGTTAAAGGACAGGCTGTTGCTCCTAGACTGGCAAAACATGCAGTCACAAGGGTTATCCTCCCATTCAGCACTACATGTCTGTCAGAGACTGCCTTCAGAGCCCTTGTAACTATAAAAACAAAAGCTGTTGGTTTCTTGATATAAAAACAAGTTTACATTTAATGTTTAGCTCTTTTGAAAAGGGACATGGTAAAGAATGTGAGAAATAATTGTTGGAAATATTTATGTGTGTATTTTATTTGATTTTTTTTTACATATACACACATAAGTGTAGAAAAGAAATACGTCCACACACAAAGATTAGCCAAAACTGCGATTATTTTATCCTATGCAAGTATAACCAAGATGAAGCAAAGAGAAAATGACAAAAACTAAAACTGTATGTTGTTTATCAATAAAAAAGAGGAATTATTCACATTTTATTATGTGTGTGCATGCTTGGGCTTGGGGGGTGGGGGTCTCAGGTTTTCCTCAATACAAGTAGGGGAGGCTCCAAGCAAAAAAGGTTGGGAACCACTGATCTAGAGTAACTATCTGGTTAGACAATGTGTCTCTGAGGTGTTTGAGGCCAAATATATTGACCTCAGTTTTGTCTCAATTTATTTTATTGTAAGAAAATCATCCAGGCCTTCATGTTCTTCCGACATGTCTGGAGTTTGACGAACTGATTGGTTTCATTTGGCTTTATAGATAAATATAACTGTGTCATCTGCATAACAATGGAAATTTATGCAGCGTTTCTTAATAACATTCCTAATAATATTGCCTAAGGGGAGCATGTACAAAATAAATAGTAGTGGTCCTAACACAGGGATGCAAGGTGGCGCAGTTGGTTAGCACTGTTGCCTCGCAGCAAGAGGTTCGCATCCCGGTGAGGGCACTGGAATCTTTCTGCTTGGAGTTTGCATGTTCTCCCCGCGCAGCGTGGGTTCTCTCCGGGTTCTCTGGCTTCCTCCCACACAGTCCAAAAACATGTTGAGGTTAATTCGTGATTCTAAATTGTCCGTAGGTGTGAATGTGAGTGTACTTGGTTGTTTGTTTCTAAGTGTGACCTTGCGAAAGACTGGCGACCTGTCCAGGGTGCCCCCTGCCTTTGCCCTAAATCGGCTGGGATAGACTCCAGCCCCCCGCGACCCTAGTGAGGATAAAGCGGTGTCCAGTCTCTGTAATAAAATGTTGTGATCAACTGTATCCCATGTAGCACTGAGATCCAGCAGAACAAGAGTAGAAATTAGTCCACTGGGACGAGGTTTTCCCTCAGTTCATAGTTTAGAGTTTTCCCCAGTTTTTGTAGCTTCGTGTTTTTTTAAAATTCTGTCTGGTTTTCCCTGTTTTGTTTTCCCCCCTCAGTTTAGTTTCCGCACCTCAGTTTGTATTCAGTTTAATTCTTTGTTGAATAAATCCTTTTGAACACTTCACCTGCCTGTCTGCCTGATCTGTGTCCGCACCTGGGTTCCCCGAACCCCACCTTGACACCAATTACATGTTCCAGTCTCTGTAGTAAAATGTTGTGATCAACTGTAGCGCATGCAGCACTGAGATCCAGCAGAACAAGTATAGAAACTAGTCCTCTGTCTGAGGCTGTTCGAAGATCCCCGGTGCCTTTCACCAGTGCTGTTTTTGTACTATGAGGCTTCTAAATCCTGACTAAAACTCTTCAAACAAACCAGTTCTGTGCAGATTGTCACAAAATTGGCTTGTGACAACTTTTTAGTTTTACAAATAAAAGGGATCCTTCATTTACATCCACCGTCACACAAGTTTCATAAAAGGGAGGGCACACTTTGTAGCAGGATACAAAATTCTGAATAATGTTCTTTATGAATCATTGCAGCATCATCAATGAAAATTGAATTCATTGATAACACAGAGTACGGTGGATATTTGTCCACTACTGATATCGGTGTTTAAGTGAATAGACATATGAAGCCAGCTCTGTTACAAAGTCACCCGGATATAAGAATGCTATCCTGGCTGATCCCTGCTTGAGCTCTGGCCAGGGCTTATTAAACATCACAAACGTCGTTGTCATGTCTCGCTTAATGGCCTCAACTCTCTCTGCTTGCCAAGATGTATTGCCCTTAGTCTGAGGGACACCTCGACTGGTTGGATGAAACAGTAAGAGGCTCCATCTGGTGGAACAACCAAGTACTACAGCTGATCAATAATATATTTTCTGACGTCATTCTCATTGTTTTCTTGTCTTCAACTTTCAGAATAAACTGAGCAAAGTTAGTAACGTCACAACAAGAATGTTACAAGTAACATTCCTAGAATGCCTGTAAATGTATCTTTTGATTCCACGTTTGAGTTTTTGAAACTTTAAACAGGAAATTTTAAACGGATTCTCACTCTAAATTTTCTTTCTATGAGCACATTGTGTCTTTTTGATGTAAAGCCACCTTGAACCTGAACTTGATTTTGTCTTTAGTTTTTTTTTACAGGAATAACACTGTGGGATCATAATGACCTGAAGAAACATATCAGAGAGAGACCACAGTCGCATACATATCTATGCACCGCTTAATCCTCATTAGGGTCGTGGGGGGGCTGGAGCCTATCCCAGCCGACTTAGGGCGAAGGCAGGGGACACCCTGGACAGGTCGCCAGTCTATCGCAGGGCCACACTTAGAGACAGATAACCAAGCACACTCACATTCACACCTACAGACAAGTTAGAATCACCAGTTAACCTTAACATGTTTTTGGACTGTGTCGGAGGAAGCCAGAGAACCCGGAGAGAACCCACACTGCACGGAGAGAACATGCAAACTCCACACAAAAAGATCCCGGTGCCCCCACCGGGATGCGAACCGGCAACCTTCTTGCAGCGCTACCAACTGCGCCACCTTGCAGCCCGCACCTGAATCAATTGAAGACAAATCTTGAGCACTAAATGTTAACGCATCAATGAAGGCAAGTTTCTTGGGTGGACTGGTTGATGTTTCTGGATCTGCCAAATACCTCAATGATAGTGGGTCTTCAAAAAATCATGCCAGAGTAACATTGAATTACAAGGTAACCACAAAGATTCAGGAGCTGTCTATGAATCATCTTAGAACAGGCAATTTGAAGCATTTGAATGTTTTTGATAAAGGTTTAGCAACACATATAGTCACAGCTATCCTTTATGGGGCACAAGCCTTCTTTTTGGTTGACCGTGAGGTGTCTGAGAAAGAAGATCATTAAGACATTCAGGGCAACTTGAAGGTGACGATCAAAAAACTTCCCAGTCTTTCTATAGAGGGCAAAGGTTCCCTGAAAATGGAAGATAAGGACAAAGAAAATGTTGATAAATTCTTCTGCAGATTCTTTGGAGACTTTTGCCTTCAGAAAACTCCTACATCCTTTCAGGACGCAATAGAAGTCTATCAAAGCCTGCCAGCATTTCTGCGAGCCAACGGAGAACAGGCTGTACCGATGAAGGTCTGGTTGTTGCCACTGGCAAGTTTAGATTCTACTGCTGCCAAATTTGTTCGTTAGATAAGTATAAGATTAGTTCAAGAAGCACAAACAGTCCTGGAGGACTTCAGTGAGCTGGAAATGAGGTGCAATGATGCACTAAGAACCACCACTGCGCTGCAGTTCCCACAGATTGGCAAAAAGATTAAAAGTTTGAAAGAAATGTGCTCTAAGTTCAAGCTGGAATTTCAACAAACCTTAGCAAAGAAACTTCCATCAATCCGAGGAGGAGGAGAAGAGGAGTCTGAGCTCGCAGAGATCCTGAAGAAGACAAATTCTTCACCTTTCAGCAGAGAACACCTGGACGAGTGGATGGACTGTAAAGAGAGAGAAATCTCGATTCTGAAATCCTTTAACAAAATGATGAAAAACACCAAGACCGTTCCATCTCAAAATGATCTTGATGAAGAACTTGTCCGTGCAGAACATGCTGTGTGTTTTGTCTTCACCTCACTGGGAAGTGATGAATCGTACCTCTCAGCTTTATCAAACTACTTAAAAGGAACGACCAAACCAGAAGAGCTTCAGGATCCACACACTTGTAATGTAGAAAAAGAACAACGGTACCTTTCCAAAGAAACAACGGATGACATGAGAAAAAAAGCAAAACTCTTCAGTGATTTTTCAGAAACCAACACGGAGAACAAGAACACAAAGTTCCTGATGGTGGGTTTAACAAATGAGACACAGAGAGGTTCAAGCATCTACCTTTATAAAAACGGTATCTCTGTCACTGAGAACTTTGAGCCACCTTCAAAGCCTGAAACTGTGACAGCAGGAGACATAAACAGCAAGAGTGTGAATCCAAATCTTTTCTCCCCCCAGATTTGGAGCAGGGAACATGACCTCCTACTCTTTGGAGTTCTGTGTCAGTGGAGAGAATAAATGGAAACAAAAGGCAGTGCTGAAAGTTGGAGAAGTCACAGTGAGCGACCTGAGGCCAAACACAGAGTACATGTTCAGATGCAGAGCAGTGACCTCAGCAGGCGTTGCGCCGGCCATTGTAGTCAATGACTCCATTAAAACCTTACCTTGCAGCCCTCCTGGTAAACCTCATGTTGATGCAACGTCATGTGAGATTTCAGTCAGCTGGCAGAAACCTGCTGAGCTCGGACAGGACGTCCAGATATTGAGCTACATTTTGAAGTTTGCACAAACAGACAATGAAGTGACACAGAAATGTTTAGACGTACAAGTGAAAGATTTAACTCTGAGTCCCCTGCAGTTTACAAACTGAACCTGGAAAGAAAAGTTGGCACAGACAGCTGGCAGAGGTTTGACTTTGGAGGACAAAGCTTTAAGAAGAATCGTAGAATAATTCTGTTTGGAGTGATCGGTTCAGAAAAATCAACTCTCAAAATCAACGCAATGATCAACTAAATTGTCGCTGTCGAATGGGAAGACTCACATCGATTTCAGTTAAATGATGAGGATCAGTTGAGATCTGCCTTCGCCCTAGGTCGGCTGGGATAGGCTCCAGCCCCACCGCGACCCTAGTGAGGATTAAGCGGTTATAGATAATGGATGGGTGGATGGATGGATGGATGGATGGATGGATGGATGGATGGATGGATCAGTTGAGATCACAAAGTCACAGCCAGATGTCTGAAGTCACTGTGTACAAAATCAACCACCAGGAGGGTTTCAAAATAGAGTACTCATTGACCATCATTGACACTCCAGACTTTGGAAGTACAAGAGGCATAAAAAGAGACAAACTGATCACAGAGCAGCTACAAGATCTCTTTCATGCTAATGATGGTGTCACAGAAATTGATGCTGTGAATTTCACTGTTCTGCCTGCTTTTCCACGACTCACCATCACAGAAATATGTGTTTGATTCAGTTCTATCAATCTTTGGGAAAGATGTGGCAGAAAACATCAGGATTCTGGTGACATTTGCAGATGGCCAGCAACCACCAGTTCTAGAGGCGATCAAAGCTTCAGGTGTCCCATATCCTACGACAGATGACGGACTGCCAGTTCACTTCAAATTCAATAATTCAGCATTGTTTGCAGACAACAAACCATCAGCAGCAAACAGAACAGCTGATGATGAAGATAGTGGAGGGTTTGATGAGATGTTTTGGAACATGGGAACAAAAAGCATGGAAAGGTTGTTTGCTGCACTGAACGGCATCCAAAGCAAAGGCTTGACTCTGACAAAGAAAGTCCTAAAAGAAAGACAGCAGCTTGAGGATTCAGTTGAAGATTTGCAGAAGAAGGTTAAACTTGAGTTAGCCAAGCTTGAGGAGAAAAACGAGACAACCAAAAAACTTAAAGAAGCAGAGATGAACAGAAATGAGAAGTTTGAGATTAAAGTAACTATCATAAAGCCCTTTGAAGAGGACATTTCTGGTCATGGAAGCTACAGCACCAACTGTCAGCAGTGTCATTATACCGGTCACTATCCTTGTCCGATAGCAGATGATAGAGATAAAATTCACTGTGCTGCAATGTCAGATGGATACTATACTCAATGCCCAAATAAATGCCCATGGGATGTACATTTTAATCAAAAGTATAAATGGAAGTATAAGGAAGTTAAAGATAGACACACACTGAAAGAGCAGAAAGAAAAGTACCTGAAAGCCACAGAGGAAAAGGTGAAACTGAGGGATGAATATGGTCGTTTGCAGGCTGTGATAGTCACACTGATTGAGAGCTCTGCCAAGTGTCTGAACAGACTTGCACTGAAGCCTAATCCTCTCTCCACTCCAGACTACATTGACATGCTGATTGAAGGAGAGAAATCTGAAAGCCAAACCGGGCTGAAAAGAACAAGTTAAGTCCCTGATGGTTATGAGGGAAACAGCAGACTACATGGCTAAGGTAGAGAAAGGAGAGAAGTTCCTGAAGTGAGCAGAATCTGCAGCCACATCCACAAAACAGAACCAAACCCAGCGTAGAGGTAGAGTCAGATGATAATAGAAAGTAACATCAAAGGCTGTTACAGCAATATTTGATTAATTTCAAAAAATATACACGTATAATTTGTGTATTTTATAATCTCTACAATATATAAATACAAATTTCTTCTGATTTCTGCTTTAATATTTGATGCAATATAATGACTAGATTTCCAAAAACCTCCTTGCACCACTGAAAAATAAGAAAAAGAAAATCTAAGTTAGCTAATACTATCTGTTACTGTTGATCGATTTTCTGTTTGATTAAGATTTGTATTTATTGCAAATATTTTCTGATAGAAAAGCTATTAATATGTACTGAATTATATTTTATTGTGTACTTGTGTTGAGAAATTCATCTTTCTTCAGAATGTGTTCCAGCTGCTTTTAAACACACTGTGGTGCAGCCTCATATCAACGAGAAAAATCTGATTCTCATTTCTGTCTTCTCTAACTTTAGGCTGGTTTTGGAGTTACCTTTTCTGTCCACAGTCTCGGAGAAGGTAGTTGTTGTTCAGCTTCGTTGAGTTTCAGTCTGGTTTTAAATCATGTCATAGTACAGAAACAGCTTTTGAAGTGTTTCAATGATCTTCTTTTGATAGTTGATTCAGAGAACTGATGTTCTGGAGCTTCTAGACCTGATTGCTGCCTTTGACATTAGATTATTACTTATTATTGCCTATAAAGCATCTTGAACAGTGTGTGGGCATCAAAGGTGCTGCCCTGTATGTTCAAGGAGCTTCTCATTTTTTTAGGGTGTTTATTCTTTTACTGCTGCCCTGATTACTTGTGGCTCCATTTTTTGCTGCTCTGAATGTCATTAAAACTAATATCTTGATGCTGAATGTCATCAGAGACAGACAGCAGCTCGAGGATTCAGTTGAATGTTTACAGGAGCAGATTAAAGCTGGTGTCACCAAACTAGAGTGTCAGGGAATGGTGATTTTGGCCCTGTGTTTTTGTTCTAGTCCAGGCGTCCACCAGAGGGCGTTCTGGAGGAATTCTCAGTGACTGATTACCTGCAGGTGTGTGAGCTACACACCTGCAATTCATTTGGGTCGTCACCACCGGTATAAGAGGAGCCTTCAACATTCACTCTTTGCCTGAGTGTTGCCCTACATGGCGACTTCTAGACATCACCCGAGTATTTCTTCCGAGTTTCCTCTGAGCCTCCCTTCGTGCCTCTTTCTGAGCTTCTGCTCCTGCCTCGCCTTCATTGAGGATTTTTTCCCTATGTTCCTGATCCACATTTTGAGCTTCCCACCTGCATCGCACCCAAGTCTTCTCCATTGCTCCCAGGACTATCACTGCACAACTGGTAACAACCCCACGTCGTTTTCATTCTCATCTTTACAACACCAGTTTCTACAATAAACCTTATTTTTGATTCCATCTCTCCTGAGTGTCATTTCTGCATTTGGGTCAACAAGCCTAGTTATCCCGTGACATAGAGGAGATGACAAGACAGAAACTTTAGAGGCATGAAACGGAGATCAAGAAAAATAAGAATGTCAAGATTGAAGTCACTGTCATGAAGCTTTATAAAAAGGAGATTTCTGGTCCTGGAAGGTGTCACGCGCCCCTTTCTGAGACATGTGTGCTCTCCTCCACTCAGCCTGATTCCTGCAGGAGGGCGTGCCCTGGGGCGGCAATGGTTGGTGGCAGCAGGTGTTGGCAATCACCACGATGACGTCGGGAGCCTGAATGCCAACACCTGTCCTTTATAAGCTGCAGCAGAATCCACCAGCATTGCTGGACCGTTCTCCAGTTTGTCTGCTGAACCCATCAGTTCCAGCCCTGTCTGAATCTGTACCTCGTCAGTCGTGCCTTCAGTCTGACCTTCACCTGCCTGTCTGCCGTCCTCAGCTGTATGCCGAAGAGCGGAGCCAATTCCACCTCAGTCTGCTGCTTGCTCAGCTGCCTACAGTTCCTCGTCTCCTACTCCTGTCAGCCTGGACCCCCTTCCCTTTTCCTCTGTCAGGTGGCAGTTTTATCTTAGGTTTTGTATATAGTGTAAATAGTGTTTATAGTTTAGTTTGTGCTTATTGTTTGCTTTTCCGTGCTCAGTTGTACCAGGTTTTGGTTTAGCCTGTTTCTCCGTCCGTCTGTCCACGATATCGCCAGATATCGTTCACGTGTTTAAGTTTGTTTTCCAGTTAGTCTGTTAAGTTGGTTCTAGTTGTCATTTATCTTTTAGTTTCTGTTTCACTGTAACGCTGCACCTTGTACATAAATTCACTTCTGCATTTATCTGTCTGTCTGCCGTGTCTCTGTCGTCTGCGCCTGAGTTCCTGTACTGTTTGTAACAGAAGGTTGATCAACTGGCAGCAGTGTCATGTGACCTGTGAAACATCCAGTGATCCAGATAAAGGAGATGCTGCTGTGGGATCACATGGATTCTGCTCTGAGTGTCCAGGCAGATGTCACTGCAGTGTACATGTTGTACAAATGGGAGAATAAGAAGTGAAGTGAAAGAGCTAAAAGTAAAGTATCTAAACACCACAGAAGCTGGGATGCCTCTTCATGGAACTGAAAAACTAGAGGCTGATTGTGACCTTTGGGCGGATGAAATGAAGAACTTGATGACACGTTTCTGCTGAGTGTTTAGATAAACTTAAAGAGATGTCACTGAGGCTTGATCCTCTGTCAACTGAAGAGTACATCAACTTGCTCATTAAAGGAGAGGAAATCAGAGGCCATACCAGGCTGGAAGAATGAGTTAACATGCTGAAACAGATTGACGAGAATGAACGGTATCTAAGAAGGTCAATTTACAAACCTTCACAATACAAACACTGTGATGCATCAAGTTAGATTTGGATATTCAAACATCTGTTCAATCAATCCAATAGTTGATCAGAGTGGACCAAAGTGCCAATTGAGTCTCACTGCTAATATGAATAAAAAACAAGCACGAGTTCCTGCAGGATTTATTTGAATGTGCTTTTTACCAAAAAACACTGATTTACTAACATTTAGGTGAAACTAAATGAAGTACTGGAGTCAAAAACCACAATCAGATCAAAATGAGTCTCCAGTTTCCAGCAGAATGATGCTCACTAAGTAGCTCTGTGACAGTAGAAAGCATGATACAGTGAAATACTTGTACATTTTTCAAAGATTTAACTTTTCTGTGTAACAGTTCAGCTGATAATCACTTAAAGCTGAAAATATATTCAACTGGAAACATGTGAAGAACTAAAGAATCTTCATGGTGGTTTCAGTGTTTTGGACTCTACTGTTTGATCAAATAATCAACAATAAATACATTTCATTCTGCCTCAAGCTTTGTCTGTTGTGGATTTTTGTGTACTTTTTCTTTCATTGTGCAGGTACAAGCACATCTGGCAGGTTTGTCATAATCTGTGTTTCCGGCTGTGAGAACTTCCAGAACTTTTCAGGTGTTCTAAAAATCTGTTAGACGCTTAGCTTCAGTTAGCTGCTTGGCTTTTAATGGACATAGTCACCAGTGACACACAGCTCATGGACGCAGTTACATTCAAAGCCTTTTTGCATGATTTATACAGTTTGTATAAAATATCAAATTCAGTCAAACATGAGCACATAGACATGTTTTCAGATTCAGCGTGACTTAAACTTCCTGAAGATCATAATCCTTAGTGATGTTTGATCCAAACCACTGAGAAACCAGTGTCTGATGCCTGAACATCCTGGACTTCACTGCAAACAGCAGATGCACCTCGTTCTCCACAATGTAAACCAGTAAAAACACACTCAGTATTGGTAGCAGTTGGTCCAGTTGTCCAGCAGAGGACGCTCTTTGATTGAACTTTTGCTGCCTTACTGACCCGACAGTTAATTATGTTGATCAATAAAAACTAGGGGATGATGTTAGAGAGCCAAGATCAGAGTGCCTTAGAAGCAGTGAGTGGAAGAATTCTGTCGATGGTTTAAAAGTTCACTGTGTAAAAAGCTGCAGCCTACTACTGTGCAGCCACAAACCTGAAGACTCACCTGCTGCTGCTACACAGGTGAGGCAGCGGCACCCTCCTCAGGTACAGAATCAGATGTGAGCCAGAACTAAACTAAACTTCTCACATATCGAACAGAAATTAAAATCTGAGACAGAAAAAAACTTGCAAAACAAACAGCAACATGTTCAAAAGTGAACAGAGCTTTGGAGACTTTGAAAAATTTTAACATTTACTGAAATGAAACCATGTGAGAAGCTTAGAGTGAAAAATCAGTATTAGGTGGAGTTGCTAACAGTTCATTAATGTGAAGCTAACTGCACACTGCTGTTTGGAAGAACGTACAAGGTTAGTTGTTTTAATCTGTAACTATGCCTTATATTTCGTTTTTAATATTTATACCATCAGTTTTGACAAATCAGCATCTTAAAAAGCTGTCAGATACATGTTGTAAAGTCCAATATTTCCCTTTGACATGTAGAGGATTAGAAGGAGAAAGTACCATAATGTGGAAATACTCAAGTCAAAGTACCACAAAACTATAAGTTGAGTAAATGTACTTAGTTACTCTCCACCACAAGTGATTCTCATGTTTCTGTTTTTTTCCTGCTTCCACCAGGCAGGAACTAAATTAAACTTTTGGTCACCCGAAAGTTCAGAAATTAAATGGGTCGGCAACCTGCGGCTCCAGAGCTGCGTGCGGCTCTTTCATACCTCTGCTGCGGCTCCTTGTGGCTTTGGAAAATAAATGAGTATTTAATTTAAATGTATTTTTTTCAGTTTGTTAGTTTTTAAAATGCAGTTCTGAATTTGAAGATTATGGTGCTCTTGTAACATTGAAATAAATTGTGTTTAATTGTTTTTTTCCCAAAGCGCTCATAGGCGGTCAGGAGAGACTGGTCAGTAGTCCCATCTGCAGTCAGCAGGAGAACCAGATGTCATTTTCACTTTGGTGGATAATTTAAGACCAGCTTTCTATGTCATAAATACCAGGAGGACTCAAATAGACATTCAGTATTTTTTTTTTTAAAGTAACCTTCAACCCAGCGTCTTTTTTTTTGGAGCTCAAAATGTTTTTGTTGTATGCAGAAATAAAATTTCATTTTCTCTGTAGTCGTTCATTAATTTCTTTTTATACATAGCATTAACGTAAAAACGATATATGCTATTTGTGTTATCTTCATTTTAGATGTCAACAGAATGTTTGAACAGAATGCCTATATTAGACACCAGCACAGCAGTATGTCAGCATCAGGGCCAGCAAGGCCTTCTCTGCTGGCCTAAACTGTCAGAATCACCGACTTACGTTGTAAAATTTTGCTATTAATCTTTTAACCTTATTCTCAATAGTCTATGCTCTTCATTTAATAGCGTGTCTCTGGGCTGTGGTGCTTCCAGCAGGGTATGTTTATATAGTTTATTTAATTTTTTTAAAATGTTTTTTATCCAATCAAATTTCAGCCATCACGTGTTGCCAGGGTCACAGAAATCTACCCTGAGGCCGTCAGAATCAAAAGTGAAGGCCCCTGGAGCTTAAAATGCATTGTAATGAGTTTATTTAGAGTTGGTGGTCCCAGGGCCAGCTAGCTGGCCTACAATAACGTCAGCACTTTCACGTCCTCTAATTGGATGGTCAGAGAGCTCAGTCAAAACTTGCGGTTTGTATCTGTAGCGACCTGCACAAGCTAAAACTTTATCGTAAAGGTTTTTTGTTTTTTTTGTTTTTTTAAATTAAGCAAGTGGACATTCTCAGCTGGGCTGCAAGGTGGCTCGGTGGTTAACACTGTCGCCTCGCAGCTAGAAGGTCCCCGGTTCGCGTCCCAGTGAGGACACCGGAATCTTTCTGCATGGAGTTTGCATGTTCTCCCTGTACAGCGTGGGTTCTCTCCAGGTTCTGCAGCTTCCACCCACAGTCCAAAAACAGGCTGAGGTTAATTGGTGATTCTAAATTGTCCGTAGGTGTGAATGTGAGTGTGCTTGGTTGTCTGTCTCTAAGTGTAGCCCTGTAATAGACTGGTGACCTGTACCTGCCATCGCCCTAAGTCAGCTGGGATAGACTCCAGTCCCCCCGCGACCCTAGTGAGGATTAAGTGGTGTATAGATAATGAATGGATGGATGGCAGAAACACGACTGAACAGACCTGACTTCCAGCATTAGCCTCCTTGGCGAAAGAACAGGACTCATTGTTGGAAATGAAATGCACGGATTACCTGCTCAACAGAGTGATTGAACTGTTTATGATGAAAGAAAGGAGGATGGCGTTTGTGTTCAAACAATCACAAGTATTGGTTAGTAAAATATATATTTTTGTCATTGTATTGGGCTGACATTGATGCTCCTGTCAGACGTGCCGTTAGCGAATACGCTGGCGTCTTCGCTGCTAACGCTGCTATTCGTTAGCAGCATTAGCAGCGAAGACGACGGTAGAGAAACGAGCTTCTTTGGAAAATTTGCACGTTTTACTGTAAAATATGTCAAATTTTCCAAACACACAGCTTAAAAGACAGCATAGCAGTCCAAGACACAGCGTGTTTTTTCAGGGAAATATCGTGGTGAGAACCCTGATGTATGTGGTGCACTTGTGGCTGCAGTAAAAGAAGACTTGTTGAATTGTTTTAACTGGGTTTCGTGCTTTAGTGATGGCATTCATTCTCGCTACATTAGATACCTGTCTGCAATGCAACGTCCTGTTATGCTACCTGATACGACTGATGGTTTCTATAGCCGTGGCGTCATAGTGACGATGTTAGGAGGTGGTTTGATTCAGGTAG